GGCCGGTAATCAACGCATCTAAAGACTTTGGTGTTTACCACGGACCAAAGATTTTATAAATAAACCAACGCACATTACGTCTACATGTTACACATATTAAAAACAAGCTCTCATGTCTGCCTCTGTTGTTGTTATTAATAATATATTATAATCAAAATAGCGGATGAGTCCATTGGTAAAATGGTAAAAGTCTTTGATTAAAATGATTCCGCCTAAGATTGAACCCCCGTAAAGACTTAAAGTTTTTATTATATTTTACTTGTTTTTGGTTTAATAAAATATAATAAACGCATATTAGACTGATATTTCGAGCACTTTAATTGGTTTCCCGACGCACATTAAACTTTTGGCTCTAAGTCAGTGAGTGTACAATCTCATGCACACTAAGAATGATAGATACGCATAATGAAGTGTTAACATGCGTAGGTTAATGAATGAATTGAAGCATTTTCGTTTAAAAATCCTCCCACGCACATTCAAACATTGTTATACGCATTTTGAATTATATTTGATGCACATGTTAGGTTTTACGTATATTCACACGCATGTTAAGTGTAAATATAACGCATATTAGAATGATAAGGTGTAACACCCCGGAATTTTTTAAAACTTTTAAAGACAATATAATAAAGGTAAATGATTATAAATCCCAAAATGCGTTTATAAGGGCACGGGGTGTTATGCCACACCTGAGCTAGAGAACTCAGGTGCACAGGCTAAGTTCTAACAATCTCAATCAGTATCAATACAAATCATGGCACGTAGGCCGAAAGGGAAGAACTATCTAATCTACGCCCCAACCTCTAGCGCGCTCCAGTGATCTACTCGTCCGTGCCTGAAAGCCAAATATATCTGTTCAGCGAGAGATGCTGGTAACCCACTCCAACGCGTTGAAATACAATACATATAGAGATATATATAGATATACGAAAACCATTTTGAACATGAAGATATATCCTACGAACTCTAGCTTTTAAAACAGGGATACACTCGACACATAGAGCTAAGCACGAACGGCAGTTATAGCAAGCATATATAGTTCACAACAGGCAAGGGAGATAAGGCTGAGCATAATCAATAATCATATAAACAATCCCCAACGTAAATCCCGTAGTCACATCCCCAAGATACTCATAATCACAACTCATCCATATCTCATCACATAAGCACACTTTGTTGGCGCCACAGGACCAATCGCATGCCCAAACATGAGGGTCAGCGCATATAGCTCTGACACGGCCCCGCAGCACCCTGCCCCGTCTCACAATACGGAGGGGTCGATCGCAACCGACCGATGAACCGCAGCTCATCATAGTTTGATCGCAACCAAACAGTGGACCGCAGCCCAAGAGTATGTCATCTGACCGCAGCTAGGAAAATGAACCGCAGCTCATGTAGAACGGTGGACCGCAGCCCTATATAATATTTATATACCTGACCGATCGCAACCGGCCTGGTTAACAGTCAGTATGGTTCTCAACCCATCCGACTGCCCGTATAATCCATTTGATCGCAACCAAACGGTGGACCGCAGCCCTATATAATATTTATATACCTGACCGATCGCAACCGGCCTGGTTAACAGTCAGTATGGTTCTCAACCCATCCAACTGCCCGTATAGCCAATTTGATCGCAACCAAATTGGGGTATCATGCACACAGAACACATAGCAAGCACATGCAACCCACATTAACACATTGGGAAGGGGGAGAAAACGTATAACAAAACCTATGCGTGATCCTTCACATACTAAGAATAATCCTAAGGGGTTCATACTTCTTTCACCTAGGTCAACGGGATACCAATTCAACTAGCATGCAATATATAAGACTCATACAACCTACGAACGGTACCCGAAATATCAAACTAGACATAGGCACGATAGACGGAGTCCGTTGGGACACCACGGGGGTCGGGGGAACATCAAATGGGGAAGCCAAAATCCCAAGGTGGGGTACAAGCCAGCGGGTAGCCGGTGGGTGAGGAGTCACCCGCCGGCGGCACTGTTCCGGGCAGCGGGTGCCCGGCGGGCAGCTGCCCGCCCGCCGGCTGCCCGTTGCCGGCGAGGCTTCTTTGGCCGTGGGTAGGTGGCGGGTCCCCTACCCCCCACTGACTCTTTTTCACCAAAAACGCCCCGGGAACCTTTGTGGAACCCGAAACCATGCTTAGACACTTTCAAACGCAATTGATAACACGCGTAGACAATTAACGGATCAAAGTCAAGAAACATACGGCACATAACCTATCATGCTTTTCTAAACATAATCAACACCCAATCATGCGAATTCCCACCCAATATACCAAGAATAATTCCATACGAATTCCACGATATAACCTAGGGTTCTAATTATTTTTAAATCAACAAGAACACAATTCATCTTCCAAAATCAAGATTCGGTAGGAATATCATATAAATATCAAGAACCTCATATAATCATTAAGAACATCAAGAACACCATATAATCATCAAGAACGTCATATAATCATCAAGAACACCATAATTATCAAGAACCTCTCATCATCAAGATCACCCATGGAATCATCCCACCGATTATCAATACACAATAATATGGGGAAATCCTAAGAGGGGATTCATAGCTATGAAAATAGGTTTTGTTGAGACATGGGTTACCTTTTAGCCTTAATTAATTCCTTGGCTATGAAGGGTCTTTCTTGAAGCTTTCTTCTTTCTTGATTTCTCCTAGGGGAATTCTTGGAACTTCTTGTGTGGTGAGGGATTATTGTGGTGGGGGGTTCTTGGTGCCTCTTAAGTCCCCTATTTATATATCTAGGAGTCCTAATTATGAACTAATATTATAGGCTTGCTAATTCTATTCCTTTTAGGGCTAGGGGTTGGGTTTTAGGGGTGAGGGCCCACGGACCATGGTGGGCCTTTTCCCTAATTAATTATTGTAATTTAATTCTTTCTTTGGATAATTGGTTAAATGATTAATTGGTTTTAGGGGTCGTAACACGGGGTGTTACATAAGGTCAGTTAGATATGCACCTGTTATTGGAAATAAGTGACAAGTCAATTTTGATGTCAGCAATTTTTATATTTCCCACATTGGGTCTAAGTCACTGAGTGTACAATCTCGTGCACACGAAGAATGAAAGACACACATAATAACGTCTTTAAGGTGCGCATATTAGTGAATAAATTGATGCATATTCGTTTAAGAATACGCCATCGAACATTGTCATATTAACAATCGCATTCTGGTAGACTAAAAGTTGTCACCTACGAACAGTCGCATTCATTTAAGAATTTGGTATTTAAATCCACCATTATGCTCGACTCAAACCTGTCACCTTCAAACACATTTTTTCTTTTGTACTCTACCTTGTACAGAGTGTTTCAATGGCAGCCGAACTCCACTCCGAAAAAGTTGGAAACTAACTTCGCATAGCATTGCGCTGGAATACGATGAGGGTTCGAGTGCTTCGAGTCGTTCGATTTCCTGAAACAAAAGGTTCTGAAACAATCAGATCTATAGAGTGTGTACTTCACGATGTAGAGGTATTATTTTTTTTTAGTGTAATATAAATCTTAATATTTTATATTTATAAAATTTACTTTTGATGCATTTTTTTAAAAAATAATTTCAGGGGACTTTTATTCATATGCACATTCCACAGTTGTTTGTGCAAAGGTACCTCAACAGATTTGTGGAAGGAAAAGCTTATATAATAAATAGATTTGACGTGGCCCTTAATACCTACCAAAACAAGACATCTACTCTCTGGTATATGTTGGTGTTCTGTGAGAGAACTCGTGCAGTATTATCGAAAGAAGATGCTGAGTTCCCAACATATGCTTATGACCGAGAAGATTATGATTTCGACCAAGAGGTGTTTTACTGCATACTTACATTGTTTTTCCTTTTTTTTTAATATATAATTTTATTGACGTATTTACAGTTTAGTAACTTTCACGATTTGATGGACGAACAGGTGCCTGACGCTCCTGTTGGAAACTTGGCTAATGAGGATGTAATCAATGAGGAGGCTGCGTAATAAGGATGAATAATGACGAAAATATCAAGATTTTTATGCGTATTATGTGACTACTTGTTGTTATTTTCGTCATACAATTTATGAATTAATAAAATTTATATATTATCATTTTATGTCTATTATGTGATCTATTATGTTATCATTAACGCATATTCTTTCAAAGATATCAAAGATAAATTAAAAACGGAAAAAAAAAATAAAAATTATATTTTACTTGTTTTTTTTTTAATAAAATATAATAAACGCATCTTAGAATGATATTCCGCGCACTTTAATTGGTTTGCCGACGCACATTAAACTTTTGTATTTATTAATAAAATATAATAAACGCATCTTATAATGATATTTCGCGCACTTTAATTGGTTTCCCGACGCACATTAAACTTTTGGATTTATTAATAATATATAATAATCGCATATTAGACTGATATTTCGCGCACTTTAATTGGTTTCACGACACACATTAAACTTTTGGCTTTAAAAAATCATTTATTTCGATGCAAATTAATTAAATTTATATTTACACGCATGTTGTTCTTGTAGCTCGCGCATGTAACAGAGCAAAGCAAAGCACATTAAGTCTTTTATACCAATCCACGTAATATTCAAAGATATTTGATGTCAGAACTTTAAGGCATTTGTAGTTGGTTGGGGAAACGGATAACATTGAATGGTTATTCAATGCCTTAAAAAACGCACCCATTAAAGGAAATCTTGAAAAATCTAATGTGTCTGTAAATCACACAACATTCAAATCTCAAATCAGTGCATGTGACCAAGTTATTCACCTATATATAAATTAGAAGGAACAACACACAATTGAGCATCAGGTTATTGAAATGGATATGTCTCACTTTTTCGCACGTACAGAAGAATCCTCTTCATTTATTCCTCATCTTATCTGTCATTTTCATCTTCCTCGCCCTCCAGCTTGTAGTGATTGTAACTAACTACAAAAACAACACATTCTAAATCTGAAGCATCATTTGTGATTCTCAGCTTCAAGCTCATCATCTAGTTTCCATACAACATCCAAAAGCTGAGAGTTGAGCATTTGTGGGTGGCTGGTGATGTGTCGGATGCTGCCGGAACCAGAAGAGATGTCTTCAAAGTACTAGAAGAAATAAATATGTGCAATCGTTTATGTATGTATCATTTTTTCTGCAAATTATTTCATAATCAAATAAACGCACTTTAAGTTTTCTAGTCGCGCATATTAGAATTATCTTTAACGCATCGTATATTAACTAATAATTAAATGCATATTAGAGAAAGAAAGTGTTAAATATTGCCTTTGAACGCATATTAAGCTTTAATGTCGCGCAAGTTAAATGTTAATCGACGCATGTAAAGACGTTGGCGTTTACCACGGATCAAAGTTTCTATACATAATCCAACGCACGTTCTGTTTCTGTACTACGCATATTAAAGTTTAATGTAGCGCACGTTAAAAGTGTAATCAACGCATATTAAGAATTAACTGCACACAGGTAAAGTAGTAATAACACGCACATTAAGCTAGTAGCAGTGATTGTTAAACACAAATCAGTGATAAAAACAAAAACTAGTAATGGCTGGACATTAAATTCAAGTATCTCAACTATAAAAAGCATTCTGAAATGAGTTAACTAAGTATATGTGTTTCATATTTGCTATTCATTTTCTTCCTCGACTGTAAAGGCATTGAAAAAATAGTCTGCTATGCCTTTTTTTACCCTTTTGCTTGTCCTTATTTTTGGGGTTAAGTGGGCAAGTCCTGGTGTCATGGTGATCTCCTCTAACACCACAAAAATTGCACTTCATGCCCTCTTGTTTTTCCATTGCCAACTCCTTGCTGCTTTTGATGCGCTTGCCGCTGCCCTTGTTCCTTGCCTGTTTCGGTGGAAGTATGTTGATCTCTGAAATTTCTGTTGATCCACAATATGATTCTATAACAGTTCTCCTGCTGTGCTGAGGGGACAATTTCTCCTTTCCTGACAGTAGCAGTTGTTTCTGTTCATTAATCACTTGGGAAAATGCAGTCAATTGCTCCATGTTTGAACCTGCCAGATCCATACAGCAGTGTATATCAGACCACACTTTGTTCAGCAACATCTTCTTTTCATCCTTTGGTCCATTCTGATCATAAATGACACCATCTATTTCAAATGTAGCTTTTAAAGATGCATCCTTAGTCCACCGATTAACCACGTACTTCAGAGGGATCCTTTCAAGGTCTCTAAAGACCACAAATATGTGTCTACACAACAGTCCAACCATCTCAAACATCTTGCAACTGCATTTGGCCTCATGGTCATTTACATTGTGCACCACAGTAAATCTTTTGTTCTTTCCATCCATAATATCATAGTGCAACATTCCACCGTCTTCTCTAACACTCAACACCATACATTTGAAACAGGAGGCACATATTTCTTCCTGAACTTGATAGAAAACAGTAATGGTGTAGACGATTGAAGCGTGTTTTTCAATCCCTAGAGGCGTCTTCATATCTGGATTGTAGCCTTCGTTGTCACTGTTGAGCTTTGCATTTGTGTTACGTTGTGATTTAAGAGCATTGTCAAAGTTCATCATGAATTCAACTAGGCTTGATTGGGGACCAGTAAAACGGTTGTACGTGTAGTTCTCACTTTCGGAACGAGAAGTTGTTCTAAGAAAACCCCCCATAAAGCTATCTCTAAAATACGCTAGGATCCAATGCTTTCTAGCCTCAAACATAGTTGTAAACCAATTGTACTCGACTAAGTTGTACTTTTCCATGAGCTCTCTCCACTGCTTCTCAAAATCAGGAGGTTCCAAAGATGACGTCCAAACGATTGAGTTCAGTTTGTTCCTGAATTCCTCATCCTTGTTCAGTGTAGGACCCACCTTTTCCCCAACTTTACACATGATGTGCCACATGCAATAACGATGCCTGGCTTGCTTGAAAACTGTTGGAATCGCCACTTTCATAGCTGGATCTTGATCGGTGACAATTATTCTTGGTTCCATACCCATTGCCTTTTTAAATTTTTCAAAGAGCCAAACATAAGACTCAATGTCTTCTTTCAACAGTAGTCCAGCACCGAATGTTATACATTTTTTATGTTCATCAACTCCGGTGAAGGGTGTAAAAACCCGATCGTACCTATAAGACAAAAAGCGTCATCACGTTATGCAGGTGTCAAACTGCCGCACTTAGAGAATTATAGTAACGCACATTAAGTATTAAAATAGCACACGTATGTAATTGAGGTCTAATTCTGGAAATTCCGCATTAATATGCGAGACAGTAGCGTTTAAAATGCGTGGTATAAAACGACAATGTGCACTTATTTATATTTCAACTCTTTTTCAATAAAACAGTGAACGTGTCTAAATCGTAACATGGCTCAACAAATCAGGCAATGCTAAATGTGTATTAATTAATGAAACGTACGCAAGAATGTGAATAGAATAATATATACCTGTTTGTTGAGTACGTGGCATCAAAAGAGACAACATCTCCAAATGCAGCAAAATTCTTTTTTGACATTGGATCTGCCCAAAACAGTCTGCTCATCTGCTCATCTTCATCAACTTCATAGTCAAAAGCAAATGCAGGGCACATCTCTTGTTTCTTAATAAGATTATGCACCAGTATTTGTGCAACAGCTCCCAATATGTATGCTCTAAGATCCCTTCTGACATTTTTAAAGTCCACTACAGTTGCTCCAACTTCAGAGTAATCCCCCACAATCTGACTGTATAAACCGTGTGATTTTGATGCTCCAATATTTGCTTTAGCGCAATCGAGTATAAACTTCTGGTGAACACTGGAGATGTTTCTATTTCCCTTTAGAAACTGCCTTGCCAGAACCGAAGACATGCTGTGATTATGTTTTTCAATAAAAGTTGTAACTTGGTACCCAGCTGCTCCAATGTACTTAAACATAATCCTAGCTCTGCAACCAGTTCTGTTTGAAACCCTTCGCCGCTTTGGACGGGAAGGACCTTCCCCTGCATCTGCACTTGACTGCGAGTGACAATGTTGAGCTCCTGTATTCTTAAATCCTTCTCTGTTGCAAACGATTTGCTTTTGAATTTTTGTCCCGTCACGTGCTGTAACGACGGAACTAGACCTCGTGTCAAACCCAACTTTGGCAGCATAATGTTTGTAGAATTAAATACCAGCATCCAATGTTTTAAAAATCATGTCTACTGCTGGTTTGATTTCATCTTCACAGTGAGGAGTCCAATACTGTGTCATTCCAAGAGATATGGTCAATGTATGACCATTGCTACTACTGCTGGGACTCAAACTGGGGTTGTTGGTAGATTGAATGTCAATGGGAACTGTAACATATAAGCATGAAGTTATGATTGTGTTGTTGCAAGCCTCTACGTGGGTAATGTGAACACTTAATATGCGTTAAGTTAATCAGATCATTGTCAATATGGAAGATTTATAAAATACTAGAGTATGTGCGGCAAGTGAGAAATTAACGTGCTTCAGGGTAATAGTTAATGTGCGCATGTTGAACAGTTAACATGCGTGAGTGTTTGTTAAAATATTATGTCATTACTTAACGTGCGTCAGAGAGTCCAGTAATATAACATGCGTTTGGAAAGGAATTAATGTGTGTGTGCTCAACGGATAACATGTGTGAGTCAAACAGTAATATGTGCATTTTTAAAAATTATCATGCGGCTACCTAATCATCTACGTGCGTAAGGCTCTAGGCTCGGATTAATTAAAGTTTCTCAGTAATTCGGTGGTTAAGTTGCATGCTTAATGTGCGTGAAATTAAGACAAGACTGATGCCAATACAAATGCAGATAAAATTAATTCCAAAAAAGCGATAGAATTTGGGTAATACCTCGATCGAATTCTTCCATTGTTCTTCGGTTGTCGTTTTTGATGGGTTTAGGGTTTATTTTGACGAATATGATATTCGAACGACGAAGAGAATAGATCTTATTGCCAATTCCGTAGAGATCGTAAATTCGTCTGAGATTAGGAAATATCGAAGATTAGGAATCAATGGTGAATTTTGAAAACGCTCGAAGAAGAAGAAGAACAGATTTTTTTTAATATAATCAAAATGAAAAAAATGCCCTTAATGAGCAATTCGCACTTAATTTTTGCTATTAATCTGATTCGTTCGATCAAGAGCTACGTGGGGCTTAGATTTAACCTCATTATTCACGGGAAGGAGTAAATGCACGGGAGCCCTTCCCTATATATATATATATATATATATATATATATATATATATATATATATATATATATATATATATATATATATATATATATATATATATAGGGTTGAGTTCAAATGAGGACAACAATATATAGAGGACTGTGAGGACAAACAATGAGCACACAATAAATTACTATCAGGCACACAATTTAATACATAATGGCACACAAGAATATATGTAAGCATCAGGTTTCGAACCCAGGCTTTATTAATTAACAAATGTATGCACGCGACATACAAACTGTGGCACACGACTACATTCGGCCATGCACACAACATACAGGCTAATGGCATACACTACATCTGTCCTCACAGTCTTCTATAATATACTTGTCCTCATTTGAACGCAAGTCTATATATATATATATATATATATATATATATATATATATATATATATATATATATATATATATATATATATATATATATATATATATATATATATATATATATAAAGAAACCATTTTGAAGCCGGAAGATATATATACTTAGGAGACTCTAATTTAAAACCGAGAATAGACTCAACAAGTAAGGATAGACTCATTCATCAGTCATAATTACGCATATAAAGATACTAGCATACACCCTAAGGTCACAAGATTATTCCACATCAAACATGTTAGTATTCAATCATTATCTCAACACATAAGCGCACTTTGGTGGTGTCGTAGGACCAATCGCATGCCCATACATTAGGGTCAGCGCATATAGCTCTGACACGGCCCCGAAGCACCCTGCCTCGTACCGCAATACGAGGGGATTGATCGCAACCAATCGATGAACCACAACTCATATAGTAACGTTTGATCGCAACCAAACGGTGGACCGCAGCCTGAATAGTGTGTATTTCTGATCGCAACCAGATTATGAACCGCAGCTCATTTATAACGTTTGATCGCAACCAAATGGTGGACGGCAGCCCTATATATATTTATATACCTGACCGATCGCAACCGGCCTGGTTAACAGACGATGGTTCTCAACCCATCCAACTGCCCGTATAGCCAATTGATCGCAATCAATTCGGGTATCATGCACACATAACACATAGCCAAGCACATGCAACCCACATTAACAAATAGGGAGGGGAAAACACATATATAAAACCTATGCGTGGTCAACCACATTACTAGGAATAAGCCTAAGGGGTTCATACATCTTTCACTTAGGCCAATCGGGATACCGATTTGGCTAGCATGCAATACACAAGACTCCTTTATCCTGCGAACGGTACCCGAAACATCAAACTAGACTGAGGCACGACAAACGGGGTCCAATGGGACACCACGGGGCACGGGGAAAACCACCAATTCCACTTTGGAAAACCAGCGGGTGGCCCGCCGGCGGTGCTACACTGGGCAGCGGGTGCCCGGCGGGCAGTCGCCTGCCCGCCGACTGCCGGCTGCCTCTTTGGGGCAGCGGGTAGGTGGTGGGTACCCCTGCCCCCACCTACCCCCACTAACTCTTATGTAATAATTTGGTCCCAGGATCTTTCATGGAACCCGAAACCATGTCCAGACACATTTAAGCACAAACGACGACACCACGTAATCAAGTAATGGATTAAGATCAAGACTCACATTAAATAAATCCTAACACGACTTCTAGACATAATCAAGACTCAACACCCGAACATGCAAAATCCCGCCCAAACATACCAAGCATATCATAGCACGAAATCAACGATTTACCCTAGGGCTCTAATCATGTTTAAAGATCAAGATCATAATTTCATCTTTAAAATCAATAACAACAAGACTATCAAGATCAACACACCAATATCAAGATCCTCTCATAAACATCAAGATTATCAAGATCAACACATAAGATCATCTCATAACATCAAGATAATCTCATAATCATCATAAAAGCCTTATCAAGACACAAGCATAGAATTGCATATCAATGGAGCCAAAGAAGAAGATTGTAGCAAGGAAAATAGGTTTTGTTGAGACATGGGTTACCTCTTAGCCTTAATTAGAATCCTTGGCTACTAAGGTTCTTTCTCTAAGATCTCCTCTTCGTGATTTCTCCTACGTTTGGTGATAGGGGAATTCTTGGAAATTCTTGTGTGGTGGAATCTATTGTGATGTGAATTCTAGGTGCCTCCTATGTCCTTATATATATCTAGGAGTCCTAATTAGAGTCTGAATGGTAGGGATTTACTTATTCTATTCCTTATAGGATTAAGGGTTTGGTTTAGGGATAAGGGTCCATGGTCTATGGTGGACCCTTCCTAATTAATTAAGGGGGTTCAATTCCCTTTTAAGGGTAAGTAATTGAATAATTAGTTTGGGTTAGAGGCCGTAACACGGGGTGTTACAAGGGGAGCATTCATTATTTCTGTATTTTTCAGCTTAGAATTCCAGAGAGCTTTCTCTCTCTAGGTTAGGTTCTAGATTAGATTCCCCTAGCTATACAGTTTGATATTCAATTGCTAAAGAGATAGGAGGATCTAGAGTGAAGAGACTTGCCAAACCTCTTGATTGTGGAAACTTCTCTCCAATTTTTAGATTGATCTTCACATATGTTGATTCAAATTGGTAATCTCTAGACTTGTGCTTATAATTTCCTATTTCTATTATTGATTCAACTATATTGTGATTTCAATCTATAATGATGTGTAGCTAGCATTCTCTTAGTGAATTGGATATTTCTTGTGATTGATGATGTATTGATTGAGGTGATTTGCCTATGAGTTTGATCTTTGTTGGAAGTGGATTATTATGTATAGACTTGTGTATGTGTAGCGCGCACTCATGCATGAGGTATAGGATGAGTGTATTGGCAAGAGATTGTGATACACTCTAGCCGCTCCACTTGCAATTCCACCTTGCGATCCGAGAGGGCCAAGGCCGGAAGCAAACACGTAGACTAGGTGTTAGATGTAATGCCTTAGGCATAGAATTTGTCTAAGAGGCTAAGTACGTATCAGCTTAGCACTAGCTAAGCGTGTGCGAATGATCAAACCAATCACCGAGCCTCAATTCTCACCAATGTCTCTACATTGCAATCCTAGGAATTCCAATTCACTCCATCTTTACTTGTATAGTTTCCATTATTTCCTTGCACATATTTTCCTTGTTGCACTCCTTGCTCTCTTGTACCATGCATTCCTCTAGCTTCGTTATGTAATTGTGTGCTTGTGCTTGACCATACAATAGTCAATTCCAATTGTCTATCCTTGAGATCGACACTCGAGGATACCGTTTACACTTTTCATCCCACTATATTACAATCATTAGTAGACGAGCTCAAACGAGAGAAAAAGTTGACATTTAGAGTTGTCGATGGCGTCGACTCTTCCTCTTCTTAGGGTGAGATTCTACTGCTACTGCAGGGAGGCGAGGTGTTGCTATTGCTCGCGGTGTTTTGGCAGAGGGAACCCACCTGCTCTTCCAACAAGTTCTGCATCTCATGTATATATGCAAGCTTGATTTCCAAAATCTTGGTAGTTGACCCCAGTGCCGCCGCCGCCGTCACTGCTTGTGTAGGTGTAGCATAAATTCTTAATAGCTCATAGCCTTGACTCTGGCACGAAAAGTGAAAACAAGTTTCTTCAGATCTTATAACTAAATGTAAACACCTTTGTCATTTCAGAAGTGCCAGGAAACTATCCAATTCGAACTAGAAATTTAATGTCCTACTGAAATTTCAGGAATTTAATGAACTAATTAATCAACATAATTAAATATTTGAGTAAGCTTCATAATCAAAACACTCTGATCTAGTCATGTTCATTGATCCACAATTATTCTATTGCATCATTTCATTTCTCAAAACAATTGTATGCATGACATACTTATGCAAACAACTGCAAGCTCAAGATAGAAAACTAAAAAATAACGGAGAAATGAAGGTATCAGACAAGTTTTACAATAAAATGAAGAATATTAGATAAATGAGAAGACATTTAATTCCTTCAAAACTTACTACTCAGAAATGAAGAGAGATATTACCTCCGAATTTCTGATCATTTTCTGCCCAAATTAAAAGCATCATTTGGGCGAATATGTCAAACAGGTGAATGGCATACAAACAAGTGAGTACAATAAATGTTGGCAGAGTAAAGAAGCAAAAAGAAGAAGAAAATTCAAGTAAGAGGTTAGAAGAAGCAAGGATGCAAATGAATTAAGGATTCTACTATTCTCAACATGCTCATATAAGAAAAATACTTCCGTAGAGAAAATTTTTTATACCAACCAACAATACCAGGGCTAGAATCTGGATCTATGTATATCATAACGCATTCTGCAATTATAAATGTTGACAAACTGATAATAACATCAGAGTGGTGGAATAAATATGAATCACGATTCTCCAAAGACCATGAACATTGAAAATGAGTGTCGCTGCTCCTCCGGCAGGGTGATTGTTGTTAGGATGCCCGACCCCGACACCTACTGAGAAATCCACAAGATGAGGGTGGTGCTGGTGCGCCTTTGTTGTTATTCATATGGTAGTACTATTGCCATAGCTCGAAACCATTGTTGTAGATCTCCTCATTCTTGAACAGATATAAGTTTCTATTGTTGTTGCTAGCTCCTAGGTTTTCTCCTCCTAAGCTGAAAAATACAGACATAAATTTCTACTCTAAGAAGAAGAAGATGACAAAGGACATTTTTATCCCCAAACTTAACGTCTAAATAACCCCAAGGTAACCGAATGACTAAAATTAAAAAGATTTTAATAGTCAAGTGTCACATTTGTCCAAATTAAAACACGAGGACCAAATGTGGAAAGTCACTATAATTAGATGAAATTTACTTGAATTAACTCTAAAATAATTTATTAAAAGTTAATTGTTACGTCGTTAACTAAAGAACCCGTCATTTTTTACTCAATTTTATTATTTTACCTTGGTTAGAGATCAATTGTAATTTTTTAAATGAATAATCCAATTGTATTTTCTTGTGTTGTTCAGTGACTAATTTGAACTTTTTTTTTTTCAATGAATTTTGCCAAACAAAGCGTAGACAGTAATACCATCTGGATCCTCCGAGTCTAATGATTTTGTCACGTTTAGCTAAACATTCAAATTGATTCCACATGATTGTAACCACATCAGTGGTCCTTCTAGGATGATCACAATTAGTTAAATTTTGAAAGTTGAAGGATTATAGCTAATTAAAATTTTGATAGTTGAAAAATCATCCGTGATTAACTTGAAAATTGAAGAATCACGAGTAGGGGTGTTAGCGAACAGAGCTTTCGGCAAACTACTCGTATTCGTGTTCAGTAAGCGTTCATTTATGTTTGTTTATTAAGGTAAATGAACATTAACGAATAAAATTTAAAGTTCGGTTAATAAACGAATAGAGTCTGAACAGTTGTAAGCTCGTTTGCAAACCGATAGCAAACAAACTTGTTTGTGTTCGTTAATAATGTTCGCGAACAAGCTCGTTTAGTGTTCTTTTAAGAATGTTCGCGAACGTGTTCACAACGAATTGTGATCATGAACATGTGCATGTGTTTGTTTATTAAGTGTTCAACAATGTGTTCATGAACGTAAATGAACTTGTTCGTGAACGTGCTTGTTAATGAACTTGTTTGCGAACATGTTTGTTAATGTTAATGAACACGTTTGCGAACGTGTTCACGAACGTTAACAAACACGTTCGCGAACGTGTCGTTAATGTTAACGAACACATTCGTGAACGCGTTCATAAACGTTAACGAACACTAATGAACGCTTAACAAACGAACACGAACAAAATTATCAAAAACTTTAACAAACGAACACGAACCTCTAAATTCTTTAACAAACGAACACGAACAGAATTATCAAAAACTTTAGCAAACGAACACGAACCTCTAAATTCTTTAACAAACGAACACGGACAATTTTCGTTCGTTTATGTTCGATTCGTTAACAGCCGAGTAATTAATTTGAAAAATTAGCATTAAACGTGAGAAATTATTATAGTCAAAAGACCGTGGCATTAACACGGTTTGGGCGTAAGTGCCTAACCGGAGCCACTACCCGGCCCGTAACCGACCGAAAGGTTGTGGGCAATTTATATCCTACACCACGGCGCGCGTTGCACTATGCGCCCAGATGCCAAATGACGTCGTTTTAATTATTTTTTGTTTTGAAATTTTCCGCCCTAGTGAATGGCAGTAGTTTTTTCTTTAAAAAAAAAACCCGCTGTTCAAGAATGTACATAATGTTATATTAGAATACACATAATGTTATACATGAATGTACATAATTATATAACAAAATATACATACTCTTTTTAAAAGATAATACACATAATCTAACATAATACATAATAAACATAAACTTTTAACATAATACACATCAACTCTTAACATAATACACACAAATTTTCTGATTCGGATGTACATAATTGTATAAAAAGAATGTACATAATTATATAAAAAATACACATAACTGTATGAATCAATACACATAACGTTGTGAACAAATACACATAACGTTGTGAACAAATACACATAATCTCAGCAACTTTTTACCGCGCCTCCCAACACTATCTCAAAACGACGTCGTTTTGGGAGGCGCGTGGCGTATAGTGTTATGTGCGCCGTGGTGTAGGATATAACGATTGAAGGTTGTGCAACTTTCAACCTGAGATATCAAACTTTCGAGTGTAATCAAATCCTAACCTAGACGATACACACAGAACACCCGAGAATGTCGGCGTCGGAGTTACCGGACGAGCTATGGAGAAGAATTTTGGAAACTGGAATTCACCTCTCCAACTTGAGCTACAGGGACCTCTGCTGCCTCTCAATCACTTGCCGGCGTCTCAACCGCATCTCCGGCGAGGATTTTCTCTGGTATTCTCTGCTTTCCTCGGATTTTCCGCAACCTCACGCCAACGATCCTTCCTCCGCTTCTACCTCCAGCAAAAAGAAATCCCTCTACAAAATCAGGTTCAAAATACATACCAATACTTTATGTATTTACCGGTTTATTAATGTACCTCGCACGTCCATTGTTTAATTGTGTCCTTAAATGTGAAGATATGAAAGGGATAGGGAGCGGAAGCGGTTAGCGCACAGAAGAGCTGTTTTGAGAATGGAGAGTGAAGTTGCTGAGCATCGGAGGAAGATTCAGGAGTTAGAGCTTCAGTTGGCGGAGGAGAAAGAGAAGATGAAAAGTGCCGTTGTTGAGTTGTCGAATTTACGAAGGGTGAGGTAGTGATGTTTCTATGAACTTATTTCCTATTCTCTTCCCAACTGATTTCCTTTAGATTTCAGCATTGGTGCTTGTTCACGATTAATGGCATGCCAAGTATACTATTGCATTAGGTTTTTTGAGATTTAGTCCTAAACAACTTTTTGTGCTTAATTAGGTTCTCGATTTTGATGGTTTTATTCAATTGAGTTCTCTATTAAGATAGCTTGGTTATTCCACCTCTATTAATACCCAATATAGTCCTCCACTATAGTAATTTTACCAAGTTAGTCTTCGACTATAGTGATTTTATCCAATTTAATCATCGGCTATAGTGATTTTTTTTATTTATTTAGTCTTTAATTCTAACAACTGAGAATTCAATTGGGTAAAACCATCGAAATCTGAACCTAATTAAGCATAAAAAGTTGTTTAGGACTAAATTGAGAAAAACTACGATGACTAAATTGGGTATTAACTCATTAACAAAGAGATGTTATGCTAAAATTTCGTAGTTCTTCAAAGAAACTCTGAAAAAAATTTGGATGTTCGCGGAGTTGTATCAATGCATGCTTGAGGAATCATGGAATTTGATCTTACCTGGGTATACTACATTGGAGAAGATTTTATGCTGTTATCTATGTTGAAACAAAAAGTGCTGAACTTGTTCATGATTCATTGTTTTGATACTGGTAGGGATTTCCTTGTTTCAGGCAAGCATCAGTTGCACTAAATGTGTGGCAGCCAGATGTTATTCGAGGCAGGCAAAAACAGGTTGTTGAGCAGTGCAATGTACCGGTTGATTCTCGAATCAATTCCACTGAAATGGAACTCAGGCTTTGTAGGCAACAAATTGAAGGATTTGATAAGGCCCTGGTAAGTAATTATCTGCTTCTGACATCTGCAATCTTGTATTTCGTCTGTGTTATTTGTTACAGAATGGACAACAATATTACTAGCTGTCGTATGGATCATTGCAGAGAGTTGAGGTTCGAAGGTTAGAAGCTGCAAAGGAAAAGTTGGCTTCGGTAAAATATCACCCCTTGCAAGACAATAACCTGGCACTCAGCCCACTTGGCACTAGAAAGAAAAAGTTGAAAACTTCATCACATGTAAAACCTACTTTCTTCAAATCACAAAATTTCCTATTTGTTTTTTCATTTTCAATTTTGTTAGTGTAACTTTGGCTTTCGTTTTGCCACAGATTTTATTCTGAAAGAGTGATCCAAAAAGGATAACTAATGATTCTTCTCGGTTACTTCGCAGGTTTCATAAATGAAGACGAGTATTTGCTCCGTATTAAAGATGAGGCCCTGCTCATAGTGGATCATGGATGAGGACCTAACACATATCTTTGTAAAACTCCATGAAGCTTAGACAAATAGTAACCCTCTTTTGGATGACGAGGGAATCCCATAACCCTTTTGGGTGTAGGTAAACCCCGCCTTGTGACCCTAGCCGGCAAAAGACCACAAGGAAGTAAACCAGCCTAGGTTACCCATAATTGACCGGGTCAAACCAAGGGGGCAAGGATTCGAACTCGTGAACTTGTGGTTACAAGTGTGGATCTCTTGCGATCTTGGCTGCGGTTACTCCCAATCTAGTAACCCTCTTTGTTTTGGGAAGGGGGAGTGGATCATCGATTAAACCCTTCAACTGTTACCAAGTTTCAGGTTGTGCCACCGTGGTCTAGGATTTCTGATTTGTTTAGATCTTCATACTAGAGAATCCATTCAACTACTTTCATTTGCTTCGATAAAAACTCCTACCATACTTGCTAGCTTGCTTCACTTTCAATCACGGTGGCTCAGCAAGTTTGTTGCATTTCTGTTAGTTCACTTGAACATGCCGGCTAGCAGAGCTATCACCGTAGTTCATGTAGTATAGTTATACATGCATATGTAGATTGTAGTCCCACTTAGCTTCCCCAAACAAAGGAATTCGCATTGGAACTTTTAAACAAGAAGTTGGATATTAAGTTAGAGAAAGTTAAGTATAACATAATAGTGTGTTATTGATATGCTTTTGACAGGAAATCGGCATTATCTCTTGGTGGGTGGCTTTGAATTTTTCTCTCCCAATAGTTGATAGTGATTATACATCTTAATTTTGTTCTCTTTTTGTGTGTAGTGCATTCTGAAGCCTGAACTGCCAATCTGGTGAAGAACAATGAAGTCTGTCTTGGCAAGATCGCTAATGCCTCCACTGCACAATTGTGCAAGAATTCTGAACCGTGTCTTGCTTAAACCACGACTGTTCCAACAATATGCGCGAGGGATTATTTTCTGCTGTGACTCGAGCAAGAATATGAAGACTGCTGTGACTCGAGCAAGAATATGAAGAAACTGCAATCATACATTGCGTGGATACAAGTATTTTGTAGGCAGATACAGCATTATTGTATGAGTAGAAAGCCTGATTTTGCATGGCTTTAATTTGCAATATACATCATCTGGAGCAGTGGAATGCCTCCTCATGCAGTACTGGAAGGAATAGCAATTCGCACCAAATATGTTATATATATAAAGATACAAAATCAATCTTTATTTTTTAAGGTAATTTCTAATTTTGATCGTATACCGATTTAACTATGTTCATTTCCAAGTTCTATTGTATACATGCTTGTAACCATTTTTTATTTTGTCCGAAATGATTATTATAATAGATTTTTATTTGTTTTTGAAAACAGATTATTATAATAGATTAACTAGTAGTTCTACCCGTGCGATGCACGGCCATATATGTAATCAATAGAATATATATTATTGTATAATAAAAAAAAAAACACTGCCGCAAAACATTTCAAATGTATTAGACATTATTGAATATTTCTTTATATACGACATTTGTAGTCGTATTTTTAGATTGTACATTTTCGTAATAAATGAGTATTTTTAATCCCTTAGGATTACTAACTCTCGACAATGCTACATACATTTGACCATGACCTCTTCAAAAACAAACCCACATTGGACAGTGTTTGGCCTTGGCTTTTATTTATTGTCATGGCATATGACAACATTAGCGGAAATTGCTTTCTTTGGAACTTAAAAGGCAATCTTGGATCCGAAGGTGCTAAGGACATCCTTGGAATTAAGACCTTTGTACCCGCACTTGATCCGGTCAGTATTTGAGCTTCTAAAACATGATCAGCCAACTTTGAAATAACCATCCTTGTACCATTGCACAACCCCAATGAGTGATCAATATTTCTTAAGAGCATAATTGGGGAGCCAACTTTTAGAGTCAATGAGTGATTTGGAACTCCAGAACATCTTAAGCCATTTAAAAATTCCGGTGTGTGCAGAGCATCAAGCATGTCAACATTAGAATCAGATTTGCATACCGAATCACAACTGTGATACGTCCTTCCTTCAGCATTGTTATAGTCATTCATGTATTCGTTGACTGTATCTACAACATCCAAAGTTGGCGCAAAGATCGCACGATCTTTTAGATATTCATGATCTCTGTGGCCACTGCGAAACATAGGGAATGTGCTATCAACAATTGTAGAAATAGGATCCTCCCCACACGTGAGCAAAAATTGTTCAGGAATATTTATCTCAGATTCTCCATCCATTGAATCACCAATTGTTCCATCACCTATATTAGCAATCCACTTTGCAAAATCCGCAATCTCTTGAACTTCACTATCTGATTTCAAAGCCCTAAGCCGTAGATTCTTTGTTAACCTTAAAACTTTACATCTTCTCCAAAGATAAGATGAATTTATACTTGCTCGCACAATATCTTGCCTCGTGCCCTTTGGAATTACTGGTAGAATCTATCTGAAATCTCCACCTAACACCACGGTTTTTCCACCAAAATTCATATCAAAGCTATTTGGATTTTTGGCACGCATTATATCTCTCATAGATCGGTCCAAAGCTTCAAAGCAGAATTTATGCATCATTGGTGCCTCGTCCCAAATGATTAACCTACTTTGCATGATCAACTATGCCAAAGGACTGCTTTGACTGATATTGCAAGTTGAATCTTCATTAACAGCGATCGGTATTGCAAACCTTGAATGGGCAGTTCTTCCCCCGGGTAATAGAAGAGAAGCTATGTCACTTGATGCAACGTTCAAAACTATCTCACCCCTTGACCTTAGAGCAGAAGACAATGCTCTCCACAAGAATGTTTTTCCCGTTCCACCGTATCCATAAAAAATAAAAATAAAAAAAAAATAAAAAAATAAAAAAAAAAGTCCTCCAAGATTATTCTCAGCATCTTGCAATACGTTGTCATATATTGTTCTTTGCTCTTCAGTTAGTTTCTCCACCAAAGTATCATTCTCTTCCTTCATTACATTAATATCATATGCCAATTCCTCCTGTATCAACCGATTGGTTGTTCTAGAATGATTAACTAAATCGGGTATCGGCATTGACTGAAAGTCTTTCAAACTTTTTTCCATAGCTGAAAGCATTATTTCTATCTCCGTAAGTGCAAAATTCTTCTTCTCATCTTCAGATATAATCAAATCTGTGACAATATTATTAACAACTATGATAACTTTGTTTGTAAAATTCTATTGTAAAAAGGAAAAAATAGAATACATGGATTTTCCAATTGTTCTCTAATCTTGAATTGTGCATCGTCGGACAAATGAATCCATGCAGCTTCCCACACAACCTCTGATTTTGCTATTGAGTTTGTCATCAAGAGAGTGACAAACAATCTTCTCAAATTCACAGTTGTAGCCCAATGACTTGCTTCTTCTATAGCATGAACATATTCCCTGTCGTCATCTACTAATCCTCTAGCACAACACGCATCCCTAAAAGATTCATATTGGACACCATCTACTGTTTTTATATCTAAATAACATGTGGGACCTTTGACTTTATTCAAAAGACACCTCAAATAAAAGATCTCCCCTGACCCAGGAGGCACATAGAATACTCTACCGATTGAAAATCCTATTTTCCTTGGCTGCCATTTTCTAATATCTTTCTTCCATACAAATTTCGTTGGCATTTCAGCATATGTCAAATTCCTTGCTTCCGGGTAGGTTTTATTTGCCTCAAACCATTCTAGGAACATGCTTTGTAAGATTGTTGGTTGGGTGAGTATGTTATCAACTGGATCATCATCTGCGAAAACAACACTTTGTTGATTCGGCAAGTGAAAGCTTAATCGTTCCATTGATGGTGTCCTAAACTGTATATCAAAACCGAACAACTGCCACGATGCTTCACACGGCGATATGTACCTACAATCATAGTACATACTGATTTCATCAATAACTTGCGGTCCATCTTGATCATTGTTGGTTCTGTAAAACTCTTCTGTCACCCTGTCGTGACCCTTGTTCACGTACTTGAACAAATACTTGATTGAACGGCACTGATTGCACCATTCAACATTAATATGAGCCCTATACTTTAACAACAAATGCCTATTGTGTGGTACCACGTACCTATTATCCAAGTTAATCCCATTGCGCATCACGGAATGACCATTGTCTCTTCTCCGATATATAGGATAACCATCATCATCAAAAGTTGAGAAATTAACAAACTTTTTGGGAAAATGTTTAGTACATTTACCATTCGCCATACATGGAGAAGTCAACCTGGCTCTCCCGCAAGGACCATGCATCATAAACTCCTCAATTACTTTGAAGTATTATGTGTAAGCTTCTTGATCAGGTAACTCAGCTGAAATAATGTGGTCCAAATTGTCCACACTATGGGCTCCATTGATTTTATCCAAAAACAGAAGAATATGAGCATGTGGTAAACCTCTTTTTTGAAACTCTATGGTATATTACTATTAACATATAAAAATAAATAAAATAGAGCAAAAAATATCAACAGTCAAACTTCTCACACTGTTTTAAATAGTGGCATTTTATTTACGTACCTCCCATTACTGGTCAAAATAACTTGTTCTTGCTACAGTCTGAGATTAGAGTGTCCAATTTCATTTTGAATAATCTACATATTATGTCAGGACGATCTTCAGGTTTTAACTTTCTATAATTCAAGAAGCGTTGTACCTCAGGCCACTTGGGGTTGCAGGTGAATGTGATAAACAAATCTGGATATCCAACCAATCTACATATTGCCATAGCGCCCTGGTAATTTTGAATCATGTATCTAGCACCCCCTGTAAAACTCGAAGGCAATATTATTCTCTTTCCTTGAGTAGTGGGGTCAACTTCACCGCGTGTTAATGCATCATTCAAGCAATTATACGATTCGCACCTCAAACTTTTTTGGTGTGTCCTTATATAGATTAACCTTCCTGACTCAACCATTGTATAGGCATCCACTAGAAATTGGTGGAGTAACCTTTTTGAATGCAATAAAGTAGATACCTCAGAGACCCTAGACTGTATACGATATGCAAAATATTCTCGAGGACTTATCCTTTGACGACCACCAGTTGTGTTTCCTTTTAATGTAGAGAAGGGGATGTCTTCCATGTATCCGTCCTCACCATACGAAAACAGTAAAGGGTATTGCATAGGCAAGTAAGCTGGATTTAATTCACTAATTCTTTGCAAGAGGCCGCTCTTCATTTCCACCATAATGTCACGTTCTCCAATATTTGTATCAATATCACCGACAATTAATGCAGCAACTTCAGAAACTTGCGGCAAATTGTATGTTCTCGCATCCTTTGATCTCTTCCCAAGCAATTTAATTTTAACCTCAGTCAGTGGATTCTTTTGTAGTTCAGATCGTGCCATGCGGAATGATTTGACCAAGACACATTATTCATATCCAAATCTTGTTGAATATCATTAACAATCTCGACATAGATGTCGTTTTGCTCACCATCTTGCCTAGAAAGAGACCAAATAAGTATATCAAATATCCACATGGATGTGCTTACAAATATGCATAAAATTATACATATAATTAATTTACAGGTACTTACCTTACAGAATTGATACGATTACTAAGTTCATTATTAGTATCATATATATACAACTGTGCAAAATGAGGTTTTTTCCCGTCGACCGGCAAGAGACTACCAATGTAGTGGAAGTTTTGCCCATTTATCCGGAAAATTGGTGGACCACCGGTCTTGTTCACACTTCTATCAATTTTACCACCCATGGACGTGAAGCAAAACATACTATTGTATGTTCTAATGTTGTGCAGGAATTGCTTGTTTTTTTCTCCTTCTCCAAAAAACAGATTGTATATTGCAGTTGGTGGCCTCATTGTTGGTGGCAATTTAATCTTACCACTGTTGCAACACATTAAATATCTTGGGGTGCCGTGAATAACTGTTTGTTTATCCTTTCTTCGTACCAAAAAAGCGCTCCACAATGTTGACATGTGTTATTTGCATCACCAAGATCATTGTATTCAACTACATTGATAATTAAATATTATTTAGTTAAATTATAAAAAATGACCTTAAACATTTCATATTATACATACCAGTATTGAACTGAGTATTATCAAACAAGTGAATCTTATTGGTTTCTACCCTAAACATTACGTACATTTGAAATAATTTTGAATTGACCTAAGATTTAAAATAATAAAGGAATTACCATTTGGAATATGTTGTATAGGTTGTTGCGGAATTTCGACCAATCCTACGATACAGTAATACATTTGATTTAAACAACTAACTACATACAATTGAATAATTATTTTGT